AAGCCTTCCGAAAATCAATGCGCTTGATGCGCAAATTTTCCTGGACTCCTAGTTTTTGTGACAGCATCAGCCTATGTGCGACACCTGATGCCACAGCATCAATACCATGCACCTCTATGGTTTCAGCACAAGAATTTGACACATGAACCAAACTTTCGGAGAAATCATCAATGGGCCTAACCTTAGGCTTCACGACGCCATCCACCTCAACCGAGCCCTGGGCAACTCCGAACCTGCGAGTCAGGCAAGCACGGGAAGGCAGCTCTGACATATCGAAGGGGCCGCGGACCCATCCCTTAGACAATTTTGACATGGTGGCTTCGAAGACCTGCTTAGCAACCACTTCATCAGTGGGTCTCTTAGACGAATGGTAGATTGCCTCCCTCACCATTGGCGACGAGTCCCTAATCTGCTGTTCGTGCAACGTTGCATAAAGTGGCTTTTTAGGGAACACACCAGACTCGGGGATTGGCCCTAGCAAGCTGAACCCACTTACCAGAAAGTCTGCAACTTCACAGTCTTCGTACTGGATGTGCGCCAACATTTGTTTGAAAAGCAGGGTCCTCTTTGTTGCGAGCACACTCCTACGGTGCGGGGACAGAGTTTGTTTAAACGAGCCCTCCTCGCTGCGAAGTTCAACTGCTCTAGACATCCACCTGCGCGCCTCGGCCGTCCTGTGCTGCGCAAGCGCATACTTACTTGCGCTTAGGCTCCTATTAATGCAGTTAGCAAGATCCTCGGGCAGCCCCTCTTGCTTTTTCAAGGAACTGTGTTGGGGACCAAGGCAAGCCACACTTGATTTGCACAAAGTTCGTTGGTTCAAGCAAAGTGCTGGAACTGGGACAGGCGCCTGTGCCTGGCAGTTCTCGCACGCAACCTGACGTCGCAGGCACCCCCTGAACATGACGTCGGCCTCCACTGGGGAGTGATCCAATATTCGGCACACTGCGCTGGGCATTTTCTGGCACGTCCCAAGAGGTACGAAGTGGGAACGCAGGCGCCCGGCTTCTTACGGGCAAAGTCAAATCAAGGGTAGAACGAAATTCGGGCACGAGCGGTTTGATGCGCTTGCCACCAGGCTGCAAGTGGGCACCTACCTGGGCATGCCGGGCCAGAAACGTTTCCTTTATGGAGCGCTGGAAGTCAACCGCGTTTGGGTTGGCGCCTGCTTGCAGCAGTGCTTGCACTACAAGATCAGCCATGGCGTTGCACAACTGAGTTGGGTATGCGCACATTTCTGCTTTATCCCATCTGCCAAAGGCGGAGACGCCACAAGTCAAATGGGTGTGCTGATTATCGCAGGCTCTTGCGAGGCTCAGGAAGCTGCGAATGTTGTGGAGCAATTTAGTCCTCTTTTGACGGCGAGAGCCAAACATGCAATGATGGAAGCACGTCGACATCCACAAATGCTGAATGTCCTTTATTTGATCACGAAAGTGCGAAGTGTCCAAAAAGAGACTCCTAAGCGGATTTTCAACGGAGCACCAGATTCCATGTTCATGACAGTAACGAGCCACTTTGGAAGTGAGTGCGTACAAAGCATTCGCAAGCGCCACTCTCTTCAGGCCCGTGCCGCTCAAGGTGCTCAACCCATCAGGTTCAAGGACGCTTCGCAAGGGTGCTGCGTGGCCAGAACTGCTGCCTTTTGCGCAGTTCCTCCTACAAACCTCTCTTGCGCGTGAGCTAGTGCCACACGGTGGGCTTAAATGGCAATACATCACACGCGGATTGTCGACAGCTCGGAAGAGCAGCTGCTGGCCCCACTCAGTGGACAAGTCAATGCGAACCGCCGGGCAGTGAACTGTCTTGCTCACATGTGCATCAAATCCAACGCTTTGTCTGAGGCCTTCCTTCCGTAGGCTGGCACAAAGCCCGCCCTTGCCACAGAAGATTTCCAGCATGATTAATTGGTCGAGATCACGCCCCCTGACGCGAGCCGCGAGCCTCAAACATGTCTGGGATTGCGAGTCGACAGATTGCCGTCCAGGAAAAACACTCTCAGGCTGCCTAGGACTACGCTGTCGTTTCAACGAAGGCGAATCACGAGGGCCGTGTTTGGTTGGCTGCGACTCCGTACCTGTGCGAACAGGTAGTCAGTTGGGCACTCACTCAGCGGGCGCCGTCCGTCGCACTTCATGCACACATGCTTGCGCTTGGGGCACGCACCATCATGCACCGGCCCTGGACAAGTCTTACCCATGATGTTGTACGACCAACGCTTGCGACGGCCAGCCCTTGTCATGGATGTAAGGCCTGGAATGCCGACGAGCTCACGGGGCAGGCGAACTCCTTTTGACGATCTCCCAAGCCCTGCAATTTTGGGCTTGGCAGGCTCTGCGTGGCTGAATCTGTTTGGCAACAGGTGGTACAACACGGTGGCAATTGACAGGATCTTCTTCACTTGGAGTGACAACCAGGCCATCATCGACCCGTGGTTCGCGGTCGACGCCTAGTCCATCCTGCCCGGAATCTGGAAACATAATGCCGGAGGCTGTCTTGTCAGGACAAAACAACCCCTTGCGGATGTCGGATGTCATTTTCTCCAAGGCCCTCAGAGGGGCAGCCTGAAGGTCACGGCTATAAACTTCCAAGCTGCCGTAGGACCTCATCGAGTGGTGTCCCAGAATGAGTCGATGTTCTGGGCTGGCCCCATACTTCGACATCATCGAAAGCAAAGTTGCTTTGGCCGAGTGCGCGGGCAACCCATCTTGAACTGCAAAATCGCCCTTGGAATCCCGTGATTGCAGTAAAAGCTGCGTTGGGGTCAACCAAGCTCTTGACGTATTGACAGACAGTCTGCGTCCTGATTGGCAGGAACTCGTCGACACCGAATGTTTGCAGATACTTGATGTAGCGCTGGATCTGCGACAGCCTCTTGCGCAGGGCGCCGACGCTCTTGCCTCCCAACGCTTGCCCCACAATTTCGACAGCGGAGTAGTTGTCTTCCTGGGCAAACATCCTGCCAACTGATGAAGCGAATGGATTGCTGTTCAAAACGAGCCACCATCTTTCGTGCAGGAGTTTGCGTTGAACTTCATCAGGAAGCGTCTTGGTTCTCCTTGATCCAAACCTGATGACTCGATCAAAAACTGTCACGGTCACGGAGGAGCTGGCAGGGGCGTCACCTGCGCGAGCAAGGAGGCTGTCGCCATAACCAGGCGGAGGAACCATCTTGGGAAGAATAGGCCTGCGCAAGTAAATATCTGCGCCAAAGATCCCTGCTCCCAAGGAAAATGTATACCATCACTCAAACCAATCTGCTGCCTAGCCGAGAAAACGGCATCATTCATGCGGTCGCGCAAACCGGTCAAAGACTCCCGCTCATGCAAAGGTCGGTCAACTTGCGTGTTGCAAGCGGCCATGTCACAATCAAACGTGCCAAGTGTCGCGAATCCCCAGCTGTTGAAAAAGGGTCAAAACAGCAATCCAAACTGATCGGAGAGGCTCAAAGGGCACACGCGGATTGCGATGCTCGAGCTCACAAACTTCCAACCAGCCAAGCAAGCCCCCACACCCCCTGCACAGCTTGCTGCTAACGCAGATGCCGCGAGAGGCAGTCAAAGAGAGCTATCATGGCAGGGAGAAAAAAAGGAACAACCGATCCACAAAAAGCTGGTTTCCCATCCACCCACCACTCGAGCCAGACAAGGTGGAACAGGTCTGGTCACATCAACTTGACATGAGTGCCATGAGCAAAAAGACGGGTTTGGTTCACGCGGCAAACATACTCTAAACATGTTTGCCAACAAGGAACACGAGGTTCCAAAAGAAGGTTTCATCTTCTTCGAAGAGCTGCATCATAATATGCGCCTGGTGTCCGCGCATCTTCCGCTGGCTTCCGCGGCACGGGTTTGTGCTTCCGCAAAAGTACTTTGCTTCCGCGGCTTCCGCGAATGGTCTGTGTGGGATTTCTGTTGGGCTTTGCTCGGGTTGTTTGCGCGAGACTGCGCCAAAAGCAAGCCAACAAAAGATAATCTAGTACAATTTGTTTGGCCCAAAAACATGCTTTCCGGGCTGAGTCTGGAGAATAAACACGAATTAATTGGCTCTGACAAGTGTTTTCCCAATGCAGCTTTTTGACGCGAATTTGTTTTTGCCAAACAAATCGCGGTTGGTTTTTCCGACTTCACAAAGGAGAATGGGAAATGTCAGGCTAGCGCTCGTGTTCGCCGCTCACGTAGTACTTGGTTGGTAGGTTGCTTGTTCACAAAAAGGGGCACAACACCCAAGGTACACCCTCACCCGTGGTAAAGTCAACCAACCCCAAAAAAGGAAAGGCGCTTCGCAAGCTTCAAAACAAGTCAACCGTTCCGTATGCTTTGGGCTCTATGCCAGATTCGGCCTGATTCCTACCTGACCCCATTCAACCACGAGCCACGCAACATTATCCCGGCATTCTGCATGTTCCATTGCAAAATGTTGGGAGTCAAACATGTGAAGGTCTGGCTTGGTCCTTTCAAGATGTTGGGGGAGCTGAACAAGTGGACAGCACTCACTGCCGCGAACAAGCTGCCCAAGGAAAGGCCGGCATGTGAGCGTGTTCGAAATCCTATCCACAGGCTGCAATGACAAATGACATGGGGTTGTTCCTTGGTTTTCCTTGGGAGTTCAACGGCTCTCCTCTCGCCTTTGGTTTGTTTCAATGGGGGAATCAGTTGAATGAAGAAAGAGCAAAGCCGAATGCAACCTGAGTCTCAAAATATCTAAAAGTCTCCAATGCCTGTCATACTGTGGATGGACGAAATCCATTTTGCACCACCTAAGAAACCCTGGGATGATGATTGCCCTGCAAATACCAACAAACAATGGTTCCCGTGGTTTGAAAGTGGTGCGAAATGGATTTCGTCCATCCACAGAAGCGCCCAAGCCTCAGACTGCTGCAGCACGTTGTCCTCGGGCAAGATCCGCTAAGGCGACCCAAAAGGCTCTCGCATCCGAAACACTGACGTGGCATCCGTGGGAGTCTGGAAGCTCAAAAAGTCCTCTTCATGAACCCCCTGTCAGCCTGTTCCTCCTCAGAGGACCCCCTGACAGTGCGTTCGTGGCAGGAACACAAATATTATGGGTCAAAAATCCCATACCCCCAGTGAACATCCCAATCCAGCCACTAAAATAGACCAAATGGGTGGTGAATTCACCTACCCCAACATGGTACCATTTTGACCCACAGCCAGATCACCGATCTCCGACCCTCACAGAACCCCCCGTTTTCGATGGCGTCCGCGGCGCCGTCTCTCGCTGCCAGCGCTGCAGCTCCATAGGCTCTGCGCGGCGCGTGAGCTCCTGGAGCTTGGGATGGCAGGCTGCGCAAATGTGTGGCCGCTTGGGCCCGTAAAAGGCCTAATCATTTCCATCTTAAGCCCCCTGGAAAAGTAAAAAAACATGAAGTAGTGATAGTTTCCCTTTAAAACCAAGCAAATATAAAACCTATTCTTAAACAAATGCATGATCATGTGCGGCCAAGGTGCGTTCTGCACTGCCATGCCCAGCTCTTGCTGCACTACGTCATGGCATTCGAAGGTGCGAACATCGATGAGGTTCTCGATGGGATATGCCAGCCTGGCCACCAACCGAGCGAATGCCACGAACAATGCTCGGTTGCTTTCTGCTCCCCTGCTAAAAGTTTAACTCTCAGGGGTTTAATGGAAAACCCCCTAGTTTGCAAAAAGTTAAACTCCTAACTCCTAACATCCAAGCAAAATGCACCAAAGAGAAAAACATGTGTTCACCCATGTCAGGATTGGGGGGCGTCGCTCGTGAAAACGCCTGCTAAGAAACACATTTTGCTTGTCGACGGCTCACTTTACTTGCCCCTAAGCCAAGCAAATTTGCTCAAAGCAAATGAGGCACACAAAAACCACGGCGAGCCAAGCGCGCGGTTGCGCGGTTGGTCAACTTGGGGCCTTGAGATGTCGTTCAGGCCGGAGGCAAGGCGACCATAGCGCTTGGTGTCCCAATTGTGGTGGTATTGCGCCAACCTCGCGAAGTTGCGATCGGTGCGAGTAGGGAACAGAGGTTTCCTTTTAAGGGAAATAGATGGGTTTCCCTGGTAGATGATTACACCACCAGGAAAACCAGGCCATCTATGCTTCGACCAAAACAACCAAAAGGACACTCAGGGTAGGGAATGTGGGAATGAACCCAGGATACCACCAGTTGGATGGCAGAAAAGGGTCATCCCAACTCATTCCCTGAGTTAAGCACCCAAGCAAATGCGGGGAGCAGCTGTGCACGTGTCACTCGCAGCTGCCTGAAATGCCTGTGCCCCATACACTCGATTCCCATGATTGCTGGAGTTCTCATGGCCCCCATGCGCCAATGGACAGTCTGGAAGGGAAACTTTGAATATGCCTGGATTTGCAGCCACAGCAAGAGTATCACGCTTTACTCTGATGGCTGCTGCTTGATCTGGTCCAAAAGTTGGTGTTCGCCAAACAAGCCAAACGCTTAGTTTCCTTTTGGTTCTCTTTTGAAAACCACCTCTAGCAGTTCACTATCTTGAGACACCCCACAGCACCACTGCGCGGCCAAGCGGCATGGTCTGCAACTTTGCCACGGAGGCCTCGCTTTCGGTGTAGAACCTGCAGCGCAGGGGCGGGAAACCCTGCGACAGGATTGGCCTAACTGGCCCCAACATAGGTTGCCATTTGAAGCAACCTCAATACCTTCCAAAACAACACACTCCTGCAAATGGGCGCGTTCTCAAAAAGTGAGCGGTGGGGAGCCAAAATGGCCCAAAACAACAGAACCTTTGACTGTCAAGGCTTCCATCTGCTTACGAGCAGAAGAAATCGTAAGCACCACCTGCCGCATGGCCAAAAAGAAGGTTTCGGGCGCTCAAGCAAGCGCAAAGAAGGAGCAAAAGCCAGCTGGGGCCATGTGAGGCTGGCACATGAACTGCTGGACTTTCTTGGTGAGATCCCGCACTCGGCGCAGAGTACGGTCCATCTCCTTGCCCTCCGTCCTTAGAGTCGACGCGAGCTGCTTGAACCTCTGGCTCCCTCTAGTGCTCGACGACTTTGACGCTGGCACTACCGCCCAAACCACGGACACTGAATAACAAAGCGATGCTGACCCCACCACCGTTCTCTGCGACAGCAGGCTGAAAAGTGGCTGCACACCATCAGGATGTTATTGCAACTAGAAAACAAATGCCGGGCTTTCGTGTTTTGGGAGTCTGCCGCTAGTGTTCATCATCCCTTCTATGAGGTTTACACCACTCAATCAGCAATTGCAGCCACAACCCCAAATGACCAATCAACTCATCCTATTCCAGCAAACAGTTGATCTAACAAAAGCGTCCTCTTCAAGTTGTTCTCGGCACGTGCGGCCTCTAACGATTGTACAACCTGCTGGGACGCATTTGTGGGATCCTGCAACATGCACGCAAACCCCTGCAGGAAATCACTGGCGACATCGGACGTGCCGTCTACGTGGCGAAAGCGCCTAGCAAGTAGCTCATCAACCATGACTTGCGACTCAGGTTTGTTGGATGCCCCCGAAAGCCGCATGAAGTCAAATAGGTCACTCCACACCGTGAGGCGCCAGCCAGGTGCTTTACAGGGTGGAAGCCACGAGTAAACGGATCAGGCAAGCTCAAGTGGAGCTCGCGAAGACGAGGCGCAGCACCAAACATAAGACCAGTTCGGACCATCTCACAAAGGCTATGCAGGATTGGAGGCGCCAAACTGGGCAACACATTTACTGTGCTGATCCTCACTTTGGGAATTTCTTGACTCTAAACGCGGCACAAAATTGGCGGGGTGAAAAGCCCTCTAATATGTGTTTGTTTGTTCTTTGAATTTTTGCTCCGAGCGATCGAGATCTCTGCAGCCCTTGGCTCGCCAACTCCTTGGCCTTGTGCCAGCGCTCTCGTGCCTCCGCGTTCTTGCCCTTGGGCTCCTGCGGGCTGTTCGATTCCTTCACTTCAGGGAGTTTCCCCTGAAAACACCCCCACCAAGGGACACAAAAACCTTTCCTATGTCAAACATATAATGTTTCAAACCGCCAAAAGGGGAATTAGAGGGACCCCTGTTCAGGGAGGTCCCCAGTTCAAGTGATCCAGTATGATCCAGTCCAAGAAGGCACCCACACAAACAAGTTCGACTTTCGAGGGATGCCCACCAAAAAAAGAAACAAGCTTCTCCAGCTCTATCTTCTTGCACCAATTTTGCCGTCTGGTCTGGTTCAATCATGAGCATGTAGATGGCCGTGAGCTTGCTTGCGCTGACACATGCCATCCACTCACTTTCCCATAGGACCTGGACAAGAAAGGCCTTTTGGCACCCCGAGAATTCAGCAAGCAAAAGCCAGCTCAAAAGGGCGACGCCTGAGTCTAGGATCAGCTGCAAACCGCCCCACTCCTTTTGCATACCTTCGAGTTTGCCATCCGACCAGTCGGTGCATTCCTGGGGGTTCTGCTCCAATGTTCCCATGCTGGGAATGAAGCGCCGCAGACAGACGCCGCAATCAAACAACCAGAATGCCAACCCTAAAACGCGCGCGAGACCATACCAGAATCAAGCCATCAGCTGCGTTCCTGCAAGAAATGGCAACGTCATGTTGAAGCGACAGCTGACAAACAAACATAAACAAACCAAATGAGTCTGACAAACTTGGAAGGGTCGTGGTGTTGAAATGTGCTCAGCTGGGCCAGTCTAAACGTCAGGCAACTCAACAACGAACGTCACCTCAACGAATGGCAACGTGTATCAAGCAGGAACGCACTTCCGACCATTCACGAGCTAACGTGCATGCAACAAATTTCGAGCATTCATGAACAAGGTGGCTGTGGCACCTTGGTGGCAGCCGTGATAGCCACCCAGTTTGGCAAGTCCGTTTCCTTGTAGTAGATGCTTCTTCGTTCACTTGATAGACCCCCCTCCAGAAGCAAGCCATGCGAGTGTCCAGTCCCTCCACTCCTTGCGAATCGGCTCCCCGTTGTTCCGCGCCAGCAACTCCGGTAAACCTAAGGCTTGCATCAACTGTCTGGGATGCAAGTTGCGACACGTTTTTGCCTAAACACGCCAAACAATCGGCACATGCCACTATTCTCTACACGTTCTCGTCGCAAACTTCGAGCCCCCAATGCTTGGTTCGTGCTTGGCCGCTTTCAAACAGTCTGAAAACAACAGAAAAAAAAGAAGAAAAAAAAAAACAGACTCTGCCGAACGATGAGGGTACATTGCACGCCAATTGGAGCTAAGGAATGCTCTAAGAGACCCTCATGGGTGAGCTTTCCCTGGTTCATTGCCGATGAGACACGGTCGGATGTTTTGCCGGACTGTTTCGCTGATGTCCATTGAAGCTGCTTCAAAAGGGCACGTCACAAGGTTACCTGCATTGAAAGGAGGGACATTCAACGCATGTAAGCTGCCCTGGACATGGTGACTCATTCTGGAAGGGATGGATGACACAAGACAGCAAACCATAAACAAGGAAAGGGGACATACTAGAATCCAAGTCTAACGTTTATGGTGGAATTCTCTGAGTGCATTGTACCCCTTATGCAGATTGTTCCGCCCCTAGGCAAAGGTTTCAACTAGGAGGGCCGTACCTAGCGGGGAACAGGGGTATTGCTGGGAAACGCCTCGCAGGCCGGAAGGAGCAGGAAGCTTCAGGTTGTCCTTTTGTCTCAGCTAAACATGGGCCAACATGACAGGCACATGGGCAAGTGAAACCACGAACAAGCCGTTGAAGAATTCCCAGCCGCCCAGTCGCCCTTAAAAAAAACAAAAAGCCCTCTTGACCATTCTTAGCGGGCAGGGAACCCAAACAACTAGGGAGTCTTAAGATCTCCCCATCCAAATAACTAGGGCATTTTAGGATCTCCCCTCCCCATCTACATTGTCACCAAACAAACAACTGAAATTCACTGAACTGATCCTACAAGATCTCCCATCCAAATCACGAACTTCTGAGGCTCCAGCGGGAGGCAGGGATGACTCGCCGCTTCCAAACCTCAAACGCCGCTGGACAGCAGGGAGTCGCCAAAAACTGGAGGCCCCCTCTTTGGATGGTTTTACAGGGGCATCAAATGGACATCCTCCAACCCCCGATGCTTGAACACCTAGATTGGACCTCCCCGTTTGGAGTCCTGGTCGCGCTCACTCATTCTCACTAGCCATGGAGAGCTTCACTGCGCATGGGGGAGAACTCCTTGCTGGTTTCGCGGTGGGTGGTCGCCAGTCTGGCCAGTCTGATGGGCTGCTTGCCCAGTTTGATGGTTCATCGCGCCCAGGCGGACGGCGCAGGTGATGTTTCCCTGCACATCCGATTGTAGACCATGGCGCCTTGCCGCTTCCCCTTTGCTCCGACCACCTTGTTGCGGAGACCAAGGCTTTGGAGGCAGCCGCTAGCGCAGGTGTGCGGCTCATTGCGCAGCCGCGCTCTCATGCTCTGCCGGTTGTTGCGCAAGGGGATATCCTCCCGCGTCTGCGCGATGCGCAGTATGTTGGCCAGCTGCCACGACCTGACCTCGCCTCGGAAAGGTTGCCTTGTCGTTCTTGCGCCCACGTTCCGCGGGAGGCTAACAAAAATAATGACTTCCTTGCTGGCCGCCCAGCTGTAAGGTGCCAGTGTTTACTGGGGAAGGAGGTCACTGTTGTACTCTGGCTGACTTACCAGTTGAAATGGTGCTGGAAGCTTCCGCATGCCCCAAGTGCAAAGGACGACGGCAGGGTTGGCAGATTCACGCTCACCCGGCTGCTTTGCTGCCTTTGGCGGACGTGCGAAGCGCAACAGGATCCAAGAGCTGTCCAGGCTCCTCCTTTGCCACCTCGCCCCCCAAAACAGGCTCAGGGTTCCTTTTAGGGTTTTAGGGTCTTGGCCCCGATTGAGCTGCTCCAAAGGTATGTTGATGTTAGGAAAGCAGCTCGCACCGCAACTTGTGGGGCCTGTGGCGCTTTTATCAGCGCACGGGCCAGTTCTGGGGGAAGTCGTGGGTTCCAAATCTTGGAAGCATGGGCCGCAGCCTGGCGAGGCTTGCTTGACTTGATCTAGGCTTCCAACCAAGGAAGTTGGGGGAAATGGAACATCACAATTACCCGGATGATTGTAGAGGTGGACCCATTTTTAAGGGCTGGGCATACAATCAGCCATCATCCGCCCCTTGCTGCCCTGCTGCTAATCCAGACGCAGTCTTGCCGCTGGCAGGCTGTTCAAGGGGATATCCTGCCGTCACTCCCCCTTCGCGCACAATCCAGCTGAGAAAAACACGGCCGCCGCAAAAGCAAACAAGAAGTGGGCAGGAATAGCCCCTGCTTCTCAACCGACCTCTTCCCTCAACCAGTCAGCCCCAAGCGCTCCTGGCAAGTCATCGAGCTCGTCCTGGCTGAAAACTTTTATCCTTTGTGCGCCCTTTGTCACATCCCAAAGCCTGGTTCTATCACCTGCCCCCCCCCGACCAATCAGGGCAACCACGTAGCCTTGAACCTCCCTCCTCACATCTTTGCCTACCCTTTCGTTGACCTCGTTCAACGGCCTGCGCAACACATCGTGCAATCGTGCTCCTCATCCCCGTCTGCTTGTCCATCCCATTCTGCAAGCCGTGCCTACCAGACATGCAACAACCTCCAACCCTTCGATGGCAGCGAACAACAACCTTCACGGCGATTGCCCCGAATCAACTAGGGTTGGCCTTCAGCCGTTGTTCAGAACCACGGCCTCAGCAATGATTGGCTTCAGAATGCAGGTTTTCTGCTACACCAGTGGCAATCGCGCCTTGTGGGTCGTGGTTATGGATGCCATAGAAGGAAGCCCTTGCTATGGTTGGCGTGCCCAATTGAGGGATGCATGATCAGCTCCAGTAACCCCAGCTGGCTGCTTCTCAGCGGGTGAAGAACTGTCCCTTGCTTCCTTCAAAGGAATGCCCAGGTTCGTTCACAAAAACCATTGTCATGTCCTGCGGGGAACCGGCAAAACAAGCAGTCTGGTGTTTGGACCGCAGCAGGCGCAAGACATACCGCCTCGATCACTGCGAGCTCGTCCTCCAGCCCTTCCTGCCTGGCCGAGGACAATATGTTGCCAGTGCCAAACACTGCGCTGCAGGATCACCACAATAACTCGTTTCGACATATCGGAAACAGGATGCTTCCTTCACATCCGCAGTTGTTGCGGGTCGCTTACTGCCTTCAAATTTCGCCTGCTGGCTTGAATGCACCCGGGGAGGTGCACAACTCTGAAACAAATGCTCTGCATGGGGGAAAATGGCAGTAAAGTGGCCTGTTGTTTTCTGCCAGCTCAAGGCATTTGCCACTGGGAAGCCAACGCGCTCAATGACCTGGTTCGGCCGAAACGTTGGTCTCCATCACGAGCATTCACACGAAAAAGGTTCGGCAGCAAACAACTTCCGCCTTCCGCCAGCGAAGGCAGCAGCAATTGATTGTCCACCCCCCCCCCAAAAAAATAAAATAAAAAAAAAGCTCAGGTGATATCCCCAACAGCATGCGGTGCTCTTCCTAGTGCTCGCACCACCCCGCAGCCCTCGCAGAACCTCGCAGAACCAACCCTGGTGGAACCCTGGTGGAACCCTCGTGGAACCTTACCTCAGGGCCGCCCCGGACCAGACCCCAAAGCTTTCAGCTGTTGGGGAGAAAAAGGACCACAAAGTAGGGAAAAGCCGCGAATCCAGCCTGCCAAACCTGTGACGGGCTGGCAGGTCTCGCAGTACCTTGTGCCGAAGTGGGGGAGCAAAGGATTGCTCTTGGTGAGGGCCATCCGAGTACCAACCACAATCCGGTTGATGTAGGGAAGGTTTGAAGGGCAGCCACTACCCAAAGACGACAAATGACGTGCACTTTACCCCAGTCCTAGGCTTAGGAAACAAAACGTTCTGGTGCCAAGTATGGCTATATCACACCGCACTCAGAGTAAATTGCATTTTCCTGTGACGTTCTAGCCATCAACCACTCAATTCCAGCAACACTTCCAAGTAGCCTCACCCACGCATATTTCACAATGGCAGTCCAGACATCTTCGCCATTTGTGATGGAATGTGGCGTTTCTATCCCCACGCAGAAGCACCAGCCCCCTGTGAAGTCAAGGGGCAAGGTCATGATGACTATCAGGTTCCCACCTCTGCTGGATGGCCTTGGCAACCACCGGCAAGCCTCAGGCGCCTTCAAACATTTGAGAAATATTGAACCTGTGTCGTGATCTTGAGGAACTTATTGGAGGATTGTGGAATCAACGTAAAAGTGTCCAAGTCATTGGCTTGGGAATTCCAAATTGAAAAGCCATGATTGTTTTCCGCAGGGGCATCCATCATGTCCAACCGCACCGGGTGATAAGGTATTTGTTTTTTTCGTTGGCACAATTGCATGCTCTCACCGCTGCTTCTCTCCGCATCTGCGCCTCACACATCAACCACTGCTGGCACGATCTCGAATGCTCAGCCCGCTGCCGGGCATGGTGCAAGCATCACATGGGCACCATCCAGGCTCTACGCTCCCAAGCGGCTTCCGGCGAAACCACCCGCGCGGAAAATCCGACTCCCTGGAAACAGCCAGGAGGCGTCATGACTTACTCATGTGCATTGGCCCGAGCCATGCCTCAAGAGATACTTGTATGAAAGCTGGCCATTTCCGATTTGGTTTGCTTGCGCCTCTGTTGGCTGATTTGCTGCTGGGCAATGTGATTTGGCTGACGTGTGTCCATGCTTTTGAAAGAAGCCGCTGCCTCCTCAGGCACCAGGCTAAGTGAAACGAGAACAAGGCGAATGTATTTACAAAAGGCGACCAGCGAGTTCACTGCAATCGCCAGGAAGACGCCTCGACTGGCTGCGCAAAATGCCAAGTCCATCTTGCAAGCAGCCAAAGAAAAAGGCGAAACTTGGCAATCCTGCAGCCAATGGCTGCCGCAAAACGCAAGCTTCCTTCCTGCATCCGAGTGGCCACGCACATGAAGAGCCGTGGTTCTCAGCCAAAATGGCTCCAAGGACGCAGCTGATCCAGTCAAGCCCATAGCCAAGCCCGCAAACCGTTCCCCGCATTCAACCTGGAGGCCCTTTTCATGAAACCTGACGTCTGAAGGCCGCGGCCGATCCATCAAACAGCGAAGCCCCAAGCATGACGCGAGTATGGGCGCGTGCCTATCCAAGGGCTCTAGCATGACTTCAATACGCTACCACTATGAATAAAGACGTCCTTGTCAGGCTAAAATCCCAAAATCACATCGCCCCCGGTACTGTTCATTGGCCCAATGCCAAACCGACGCTAAACTTTTGCCAGCCTGTCAGGTTTGGCGCACGGAAAAGGGTGGGGAGCCTATTTGGAAGAGGACCGCAGTGGAAACCCCCTTAGGGCTTCCTGGGACCCTCTTGTTGAAAAAAAGCAAAGCAGAATTGGGGGGTTTTTCAAAAAAACGGAAGGGATTGATCGAGTGCAGTATGTTGCCAAATCAAATGCTCAGAAGGCAAACTAAACCATTCTTGTGACACACTTGCAAGCACTGCGAACGCCGTATAAAGCTCTGGTGCTTAGTCCTCTTCACTCAGTGCTCGAGCTTCAGCTCCGTCCAGCAAAGAGCAAACTCATTTCAGGCGAAAATTGCAACATGCCGGGTACGCACAATCCTGCAAGAACTCCCCATTGTGAGCTCATGACAAGAGCAACTCCCCACGCTGGCTTGAGGTTTTGAGTGGGACATTTCAAGATTGAGCTGAAATAACTTCAAGACGCGCGCACGAAGACGGACATGAATACGGACACAAACACAGGACACTAAAACGCACAAACACGCGTGCACACTTCGCACACTTACACACAACAAACCAAGCAGGCACAACAACAGACGCTAACTCCGTGATGCGAAGCCTGCGGCAAACACCGATCCAAGTCATGCCCATCAGTCTTGCAGCCGCGCATCCATGCGAAGTCGGCCTCCTCTGATGCCTGGATACCTAGCTCCTACCCAGCTCAGGCAAACATAAGAAGCTCATTCAGAATCAAGCCCACGCTAAGGGGAGGGTGTCCAAAAGCCTTACCAAACACCTCCATGAGTAGCCATTAGCTGCCCTCAGTTGCACAGATCTTGGACAACCGTGCTTCGAATGTTCGCACCAATTCCTTCAGCGGATCCGAATCGGTTCGCCCAACTCAGCTCAACTTCGAAACACGATGCAACCAAGAGATGATGGGGCTTGGGCCTCTTCGAGAAAGGGCTAAGCAAGCAAGCAACGAGTTCATGCCCTGTCCCAAACAGCGAGCAATGCAGTTACCTCTGGAGCATCCTCTTTCAGGGTTGGGCAAAGCCGGGGAGTTTGCCTGCCAGTTCAGCTGCTTGTTTAAACTCACACTCCAGCAAATGTTTGACCGTCTCCAAGCACAATGGCGGAACTTGTCTCGTGAGGTCCCTGATGCCCTCATGTTGCGACAAGCCACTTCTTGCTTTGATGCCAGTCATCGCTGTGGGTTTGATACAAGCATTGGCGGAGCTCGCTGTTCGGGCAATTCGCTGAATTGCTTGCTGCGTCGCCATTTGGTCGCCTTTTGGTTGCGGTGTGTCTGCTCTTCAGACTCCCAGCTTTTTCTTTACCACCAACATGGTCCAAACCCAAAAAGTGACTAAAGTCGAGTCCAAAAACTGAACTGAAGTCGTATGCCTGCTAGTTGGTTTCCCTGAGCGTGGACCGTGAAGGTCCTGAATCATCTGCGCCACCTGCGGATCCCTCGCTGGCAGCTGTGGCGACGGAGACCGCAGCGGCGAGCGAGGCGCCATCAGTGGCACCACCACGGGCGACGGCTGTCGCCAGCAGCCAGGCCAGCAACTGGCGGCGCCTGGCATACCAAAAGCGGTTTGTGGGAGTTGGCAGGCTTGAAAGACAGAGACTTCCACCGGCTGCCTTTTCGGAGTACTACTGTGGATGGACGAAATCCTGTACCACCTAAGAAACCCTGGAAGAATGATTGCCCTATAAATACCAACGAACAATGATTTCCGGTGGTTTCAAAGTGGTGCAGGATTTCGTCGATCCACAGTAGCCAAATTCCCCAACCGTCCCTGATTCTGCGAGTGACCGCAACGCAACTACCACAGTACCAAGGTGAAAAGGTGCCAAGCGCTCAAGAGCACGCCTTGGGCGCATGCTATTCTCCCCCCATAGCCATGCATGGCAAAAGGCATGCATCTCAGAAGGAACAATTCAAGCGTAGGGCACTTTCCGCTAGGCAGCATCCAATGCGCGGACACATGTCCATTCTTTACAAGCGGCCGTGCTTGTGGGCGGGGCACGGGCACAGAAACCATTCAAGTGTGGCCGGGATGCAACTCCTGCGGCTGCTGATTCCCTCTGTGCGTGGCCGACACTGATGACAGAACAGTTACTGACATTCGGCCGGGGTCCCCCAAGTCCTTGCATGCATTACACCTGAATTGCGCGATTCCAACATGGGTTCCCAACATGCAACAACAGCTGCCGGCAAAGCATCAGTGCCGGCAGTTCAGCTCATGATGAAAAACGGTACGCAAAATGGAACCCTGGCAAATGGAACCAAGGACTAGCACCTGCGGTCCCCTGGTGGTTTCATTTTGACCCATGCCCACATAAGCAACCTATGCCCTAAGCCACACCTGTCGCGAAGTAGGCGTTCGGCTGCGGCCAAAGCAGGTGAGGAAGCTGCTGCTGCCTAAGCTGATGGCAGAGTCAAGTTCAACTTCTCGAAGGGCTTGGCTACAGGAAAATCTACAGGAAATGGCCCCGAAACACCCTGAGTAGGCTGTTTTGCTGTACAATTTCCTGTAACCAAACCCTTTGAACTTCTGTTCCACCTCCACACTCGCAGAACGGAGAGCCATAATCTATGTTGGGCTGAGGATCACTTTTGACTGTTGTTTTTGATATTGGCCGAACCAACCACACACAAACCAACCACACAAACTAACCACGTAAACCAACCACACAAACTCACCACGTAAACCAACCACGCAAACCAACCGCACAAACCAACCATGTAAACCAACAACGAACACCGACCACGTAAACCAACCACACAAACCAACGCCGCAAACAAACCAACAAACAACCAGACAAAAAAAAAAAACAAGCTAACGACAAACCAACCAACACAGACAGACAGATGGACAGACAGACAGCTAGACAAACACGCAGAGAAACACAAAAACAGCGACACAAGCAAGCAAGCAAGCAAGCAAGCAAGCACGCACGCAAGCACGCAAGCAAGCAAGCAAGCAAGCAAGCAAACAAGCAAAGTACAGCAGCAAGCAAAGCACAGCAACATCGTGCGTTATTTGCGACCCGGTCATTTGGTCAAAGCGGCCCGTTTCTTCTAAGATCACCCGTCCGCATTCCAGTGGCCCTTGGGCCCGTCCAAGAAGAAGCGTTTAATGGCTGCTTGACTTTGATGCTACCCTTGCCGAGGCGAAAAAAGGCTGCAGCATGTTGCCTTGTTGCCTTGGTTGACGTTGGAAGGGGAGCAAAAACTGAAATCTTAGCAGCCAAGTGGGGATTTCCCACTGAACCACGATAAGCAAAAATGCAAAATGCTTCCCAACAACAACCATGTTGCAGCGCGCAAACAGACAATTGTTCTGAGCAAACGTGCATCCAATAGTGCAATAGCTCGGATTCCGCGGATTCAGGAAACGCATTCGTGCGTCACTGCATATGCTGGTAACATGACCTTCCGAAAGCGGGGCCCCGCACGCAACAAGCTGGACAATGGGAAGCTTTTGGCAAGGAACCAAGGAGATGTGTGGCGACCTTTCTTTCCTAAGGGACCTGCTGCAAAAACGTGCTTCCATTTGGTTAATACCCCCGGAAAAACTAAAAATATATTTCCAGTAGTGATAAATTCCTTTCAACACCAACAAGGGAAAGTAACACATATTCTTAAGCAAATGGAAGCATGTACAGCTTGTTCCCGCCGCGGCGCTGCAGCTGGGCCTGCATCTGGTAGTGCTGCCATCCCTCCGCAGTGGCATACCTTGCAACAGCTCGAAGGTTGGATTCTGCAATCTCGTCACCCATCGTTCTCTACAGAAACCATCTATTGTCCAGGGGTTTGGCCAATTTTTCGTGGAGAATGATGCCTAAAGAGAATGGGGAAGGTACAGCTAAAAGAGCACATGCGCGGGTCGTGCCTTATTCACCATCCGTGCGCTGGCGCCGAGCGCCGAGCGCGCGTTTCACTCTCCCAAGGAGAACGGTTGGCAACCAGGCAGTGTTTACACAAGGTGACCGTACTCGGGAAAATTCCTAGCCCCGGCCCGGTTTGTGGCCTGGTTTGCGGCTGTTGGGACATGCTGGCACGCCCTTTGGGTTCCAAAGTCAAGGGGCTGTGCCATTCGCGTCACATGGCACACAAAGGGTTGTCTGGCGAACCTCACGGAAGGTCGCCAGGCTTGAGAGCTTGGCTCTGTGGCTGCTCGGTGTTGGCTTCTTCTAGCTGGTGGGATATGCGA